AGTAGTAGTAGTAGTAGTGGTAGTAGTAGTAGTAGTAGTAGTGGTTGTGGTGGTAGTAGTAGTAGTAGTGGTAGTAGTAGTAGGAGAGGTACACGTAGCAGTAGTAGTAGTAGTACTAGTAGTCGTAGTAGTAGTAGTAGTAGTAGTAGTAGTAGTACTAGTACTAGTACTAGTACTAGTACTAGTACTAGTACTAGTAGTACTAGCTAGTAGTACCAGTAGTAGTAGTAGTAGTAGTAGTAGTCGTAGTAGTAGTAGTAGTAGTAGCAGTAGTAGTAGTAGTACTCGTGGCTGTAGTAAGGGTATGAGTAAGAGTAAGAGTAAAAGTATTACCATACAGCAATAGCAAGAGTGATGGTAAGAGTAAGAGTGGAAGTAGCATCCCGAGTAACAGTTAAAGAAACACAAGTAGTAGTAGCAGTAGTAGTAGTAGTAGTAGCAGTTGTAGTGGTAGTAGTAGTAGTAGTAGTAGTAATAGTAGTATTGGTAGTAGTAGCAGTAGTAGTATTAGTAGTAGCAGTAGTCGCCGTAGTCGTAGTATTCTCAGTAGTTGTAGTAGTAGTAGTAGTAGTAGTAGCAGTAGTAGCAGTAGTAGCAGTAGTAGCAGTAGTAGCAGTAGTAGTGGTAGTCGGTGGTGATAGTAACTGATCGTAGTGCCAGTGGTAGTCGCAGCAGCAGTAGTAGTAGCCGTTTGTAGTAGTAGTGTTAGTGGTCGTAATAGACATCGTGGTAGTAGTAGTAGTAGTCGTCGTCGTCGTCGTCGTCGTCGTATGTATAGCATCACTACTACTACTACTACTACTACTACTACTACTCCTACTACTACTACTACTACTACGATTACTACTACGATTACTACTGCTACTACTACTACTACTACTACTACGACTACTACTACTACTACTACTACTACTATTACTACTACTACGACTACTACTACTACTTTTACTACTACTACTACTACTACTACTACTACAACTACTACTACTACTACTACTACTACTACTACGACTACTACTACTACTACTTCTACTACTACGACTACTACTACTACTACTACTACTACTACTACTACTACTACTACGAACGCTGCTACTACGACGACGACCTACTACTACTAGGGTCACCCGTCGTCTATGGCCGGCTTGCTTATGGCTGGTAGTTTGGGTGGGGGTTCTATACAGTTGTACGAAAACCAGATATAAACTACGCGTCGTTCACACTTGACTTATGGCCGGCACGCTGTGAGGAATCCTAAGGAATTGTCAGGAAACTTAAGGAATTCTCAGGACACCGAAGGAATTCTCCAGGATTCCTGAGGAATTCTCCAGGCAGCCCAAGGAACTCCTGAGGAACCCCGAGGAATTCAATTAGCAATCCGAAGGAATCCTTGGGGAGTCCAGAGGGATTCTCCAGGAATCCGAAGGAAATCTCTTGGAATCCGAAGGGAATTCTTCAGGAATCCCAAGGAAGCTTGCAGGAAACCTAAGGATTTTTCCAGGAAGCCCCCATAGGAATCCGAAGGAATCCTAGGGAATCCTGAAGGAATTTTCAGGAAATCCTCAGGAAACCTTCGGAATCCATGCGGAACCCCAAGGAAGCCTCCAGGGAGCCTGGTGAATTTTCCGGAATCTTGAGGAAGTCTGCAGGAACCCCAAGGAATTCTTCAGGAATCCTAGGGAATGCCAAAGGGATTCAGCAGGAATCTTAAGGAATCTCGAAGGAATCCGAAGGAATCTCGGAGGAATCCTAAGGAATCTCCAAAGAATCCTAAGGAATTCGCAAGGAATTCTTAGGAAGTCTCCAGGAGACTGAAGGAACCCCCGACGAATCCCAAGGAATCCTTGAGTTTCCTTGGGAATTCTCCAGGAAGTCCAAGGAATTCGTAAGGATTCCTTCGGAATTCTCCAAGAATCCCAAGGAAGTTCCTAAGAATCCCAAGGCAGTCTTTAGGAATCCTAAGGCAGTCTACAGGAAGTGGTTCCCAATAGAAAACTATTAGAAACCATTTGTTTCCAATAGACAACTTTTTTTTTCAAACAAAAAAAAGGTTCCCAATGGGAAACTAAGTAATACCATTGGTTTCCAATAGACAACTAGTTCAAACATTGGTTCCCAATAGAAAACGAATAGAAAAATGGTTGTCAATAGAAAACTCATACAAACAATTGGTTCCCAATAGAGAACTAGTTAAAACCATTGGTTTCGAATAGACAACTAATTAAAACCATTGGTTTCCAATCGCAAGCTAATGAACACCATTGGTTCCCAATGGAAAATTAATTTAAACAATTGGTTTCCAATACGAAACTAATTAAAACCATCGGTTTCCAATAGAAAGCTAATAAAAACCATTGGTCCCCAATAGCAAACTAATGGAAACCATTGGTTCCGAATAGAAAACTAATTAAAACCATAGGTGTTCAATAGAAAACGAAGCCAAACCAGTGGTTGTCAATAGAAAACTAATTAAAACAAATGGTTTCCAATAGAGAACGAA